TTACTGCAATCTATTTTTCTACATAATTCAGCATTTGATTCCCAGAAATCAATGCAAGCAGCTTTTAATTTTGCTTCTGAATAAGTTGTAATTTAAATAGATTCTAGAAGTTATTCATTCAAGCATGGTTTATTATAATTTCTAAGATAAAAACAACAACTAGACAATATAATCATTTACATCTCATCCTCTTAATAATTAATAATGCGATGTAACAATCAGTCAATTAATTAATATGCATATGAAACTCCAGAGTAGCGGCATTACAAATTTAGACAGGGATGGTGTTGTTGATTTGTTGAGAAATTCTGATAAGAATGAAATTGTCGAAACAACATCTCATTTCGATAGAGGATTATTAATACGTTTTATAAGTTATTAAGATATTTCTTATTTTTCATTATTTAAGAAATTATAAATCATTGTTTTAAATATATAAGAATTAAATTGAAAAAAGAAAAAATAAAAGTCCTCCTTCAATCTTCATATTATGCTTATTTATATACCTTAACATTTCCCCCTAGATTTATTATATTTAACAGGAATCATAAGGTAATAAATAAGTCAGGAATTTGGAGTGACTTTATCCAAAATTTTTTCCATCATTTCTTAGGCCAACCAAAAGTTCAGATATTTTAAAATTTCTTTATTGACCTAGTTTCGATACCAATAGACCACTCCTATGTTATACAAAAGGAGTTTGTCTACTAATATCGAAACAGTACGAACTAAAATTTTTTTTATTTTTATTTCTGATTAAGTAATTTACAAAAAAATTACACTAAAAACTAAAATTATGAAATATCTAAGCTGTTAAAAAATTGAAAACCATTATTATCTATATTTATTATTCAATAAGTCTATCCATTTTTACCAATTTTATTATCGATGTCTTATAATTTAATATGATTGTTGAAATATTTAAATAACATATATTTATCTGGGATGATACAAACAGAAAAGGCTCTTCAAAATGATGCTATTAAAAACAGCAATTTAATATTTTGATTAGTAGCTTCATTGCTTCATTACAAGGATACAAGCTAATCGATTCCTTCTCAGTCAGATAAAGTCTTTTAAAATATTTGTATATATGCTCAGAAAGAGAATACAGAGAAAGGAAGGATATTGTTTACAGAAATTGAACAATAGACCTAAAAGAAGAAGCCGAAATACATAGAATAGAAGAATAATATGGAGAATTTTGAAAAGCATTTTAAAAAATTTAACAAAGCAGTACTGATATATAGGGATACTTATTAGTTCTTTGTATTAAGTGGGGCTTAATACAAAGAACTAATAACGAATATGGGCTAGGTTCAATTAAGGTCTATGAATATTTTTTCACATTACTAGGATTCTTATAGAATAAAGGAAAAGCATTAAAATTGAATGCTAGAAGGCAACTGATTTTGATAAAAAATATTAGGAGACTTAAAAAAAATAATTAAAGATATTATATCCATCCTTAAAAGGATTAATTAAATATAATTGTTTATATTATATTTAATGGTAAAAATTAAACTAAATAACTTTCTTAAGACTTTTACAAAAACAATATAGGCTCTCTCTAAGTCCTTATTTTTAAAATTATTACGAATGAAATAAAGCTAAAATGATTTTAATAAACAAACATAAAACTAACTATCTCGACAATATTAAGACTTAATAATAAATCAAAAATTAAGATAAGTAAAAATTTAATAGTCATGTATGACATATCATGAAATATGAAGTATTAATTAAACTATGCCAATTTTATTGAAACGAAATACAAAAAGTATTAACGACCGATTAAATCTATAAGTTTCCAAGTCACAAGAATTAATTTTCAAGGATGAATAAGATGTAATTTTAGCAGATTTTTTAATATATAAAAAACTTTTAGTATGATCCACACACTGTAAAAGTTATTCTTTCTTTAATAACTTCTTCAAATAAACCCTAATGATCAATAATAAATGAAAATTTTTAATTTTGTAATTTTCTATTGATATGGAATAAATTGATAAAATTCCTGATAAATCATCTTTATTTGAGTTCAATTATTAGTTTCATTCATTGCTAAATATCAAGAATCAGCTTAATATTGGATGTTATTTTTAATTTATTACTAATTAGATTAGATTCTTGTTATACTAAACAAATTATATTGGTAACAAAGGAAGCGGCAATCTTTATTTCATATATTTAATATTTAAATAAATAATTAATTTTTTTATCTTGAAATAATAAATAATTAACTGAAATGGTTATTATCTATGATTATAAATATTTTATCTCTTTTTGGACAACTATTTTTAATTTTATCAACCATAGATCTATTTTGGATGATATAAAAAGTATTTATATTACTATATATCTTAATGAGAGAAACTCATAAATATTCACAACTTCTTGCTAATCTTTTTATAAGAAAGTCATTTTATTAAGTGAAAACTTTTCATCTGTTTCATCTAATATGGCTTTAGGATTGATTAAAATTTCTAATGTACAAAGAATAAATTATCCAAAAGTAATTTTGGTATTATTGTTTCTAGGTGATTATTTATTCTCTTTTCCACCCCTAACTAATTTGTTCAAATCCAGTCACACTCTTTCTCATCAAACACTCATATTTATATAATCTAAATTGAGCCATCGAGTATGCCTCTCCCAATATCCTTCCATTCTGGTTCATCGTCATTCTTCATCTCGCCTTTCTCCATCGGCTACTTCATCACTAATCCCTTTTCATCAGCTCCTAAAATATTTACCTAGCCTTACTTTAACATGAGTAACTTTAAGTTTTGGTTCTGAGTTCGCTGTGCAGCTTTCAAGGTTATCTCCTAGGATTCTTATACAATCAAAGTCTAATCTTGTTATTGGATGATCATGGATATTTTTAAGTCTATGCTTATATATTCTATGATTATCTATATCATAACAGTCCCCTAATAGCTGGTACATCTCATTACTGTTACACAATAGTCTATATCTGTAGGGTATATACTATTCCGCTCTCCTTTATATAAGAATATGTTATGTAAATCCCTCCTGTTTTATAATTATAGGCATTTTCTCCTGGAATAACATATTCTTAAGTACTCTTCACTCATGCTATACATTTTACAATTTTGTCTTATTAAATTGCTCTATCCCGTTTGATGGGCCTTGTTATTCTTCCTCTAANATTGTTGAAATATTTAAATAACATATATTTATCTGGGATGATACAAACAGAAAAGGCTCTTCAAAATGATGCTATTAAAAACAGCAATTTAATATTTTGATTAGTAGCTTCATTGCTTCATTACAAGGATACAAGCTAATCGATTCCTTCTCAGTCAGATAAAGTCTTTTAAAATATTTGTATATATGCTCAGAAAGAGAATACAGAGAAAGGAAGGATATTGTTTACAGAAATTGAACAATAGACCTAAAAGAAGAAGCCGAAATACATAGAATAGAAGAATAATATGGAGAATTTTGAAAAGCATTTTAAAAAATTTAACAAAGCAGTACTGATATATAGGGATACTTATTAGTTCTTTGTATTAAGTGGGGCTTAATACAAAGAACTAATAACGAATATGGGCTAGGTTCAATTAAGGTCTATGAATATTTTTTCACATTACTAGGATTCTTATAGAATAAAGGAAAAGCATTAAAATTGAATGCTAGAAGGCAACTGATTTTGATAAAAAATATTAGGAGACTTAAAAAAAATAATTAAAGATATTATATCCATCCTTAAAAGGATTAATTAAATATAATTGTTTATATTATATTTAATGGTAAAAATTAAACTAAATAACTTTCTTAAGACTTTTACAAAAACAATATAGGCTCTCTCTAAGTCCTTATTTTTAAAATTATTACGAATGAAATAAAGCTAAAATGATTTTAATAAACAAACATAAAACTAACTATCTCGACAATATTAAGACTTAATAATAAATCAAAAATTAAGATAAGTAAAAATTTAATAGTCATGTATGACATATCATGAAATATGAAGTATTAATTAAACTATGCCAATTTTATTGAAACGAAATACAAAAAGTATTAACGACCGATTAAATCTATAAGTTTCCAAGTCACAAGAATTAATTTTCAAGGATGAATAAGATGTAATTTTAGCAGATTTTTTAATATATAAAAAACTTTTAGTATGATCCACACACTGTAAAAGTTATTCTTTCTTTAATAACTTCTTCAAATAAACCCTAATGATCAATAATAAATGAAAATTTTTAATTTTGTAATTTTCTATTGATATGGAATAAATTGATAAAATTCCTGATAAATCATCTTTATTTGAGTTCAATTATTAGTTTCATTCATTGCTAAATATCAAGAATCAGCTTAATATTGGATGTTATTTTTAATTTATTACTAATTAGATTAGATTCTTGTTATACTAAACAAATTATATTGGTAACAAAGGAAGCGGCAATCTTTATTTCATATATTTAATATTTAAATAAATAATTAATTTTTTTATCTTGAAATAATAAATAATTAACTGAAATGGTTATTATCTATGATTATAAATATTTTATCTCTTTTTGGACAACTATTTTTAATTTTATCAACCATAGATCTATTTTGGATGATATAAAAAGTATTTATATTACTATATATCTTAATGAGAGAAACTCATAAATATTCACAACTTCTTGCTAATCTTTTTATAAGAAAGTCATTTTATTAAGTGAAAACTTTTCATCTGTTTCATCTAATATGGCTTTAGGATTGATTAAAATTTCTAATGTACAAAGAATAAATTATCCAAAAGTAATTTTGGTATTATTGTTTCTAGGTGATTATTTATTCTCTTTTCCACCCCTAACTAATTTGTTCAAATCCAGTCACACTCTTTCTCATCAAACACTCATATTTATATAATCTAAATTGAGCCATCGAGTATGCCTCTCCCAATATCCTTCCATTCTGGTTCATCGTCATTCTTCATCTCGCCTTTCTCCATCGGCTACTTCATCACTAATCCCTTTTCATCAGCTCCTAAAATATTTACCTAGCCTTACTTTAACATGAGTAACTTTAAGTTTTGGTTCTGAGTTCGCTGTGCAGCTTTCAAGGTTATCTCCTAGGATTCTTATACAATCAAAGTCTAATCTTGTTATTGGATGATCATGGATATTTTTAAGTCTATGCTTATATATTCTATGATTATCTATATCATAACAGTCCCCTAATAGCTGGTACATCTCATTACTGTTACACAATAGTCTATATCTGTAGGGTATATACTATTCCGCTCTCCTTTATATAAGAATATGTTATGTAAATCCCTCCTGTTTTATAATTATAGGCATTTTCTCCTGGAATAACATATTCTTAAGTACTCTTCACTCATGCTATACATTTTACAATTTTGTCTTATTAAATTGCTCTATCCCGTTTGATGGGCCTTGTTATTCTTCCTCTAAGTTCGAACCTTGCTACTATTATAATTATTATTATTAATTATTACTTTTTTATTAATTCTGATTGGGAACATTTATTAAATCGTTTTTTTAAAATCTATCCATTTATATCCATTCTTTGTGATTTGAAGTTTGGTGTCGACAATGAAAGAAACAACTGAAGGTTTTGAAATTAATGTTGATACGAAGCCAGTGTAAATTTTGGTAATTTTATAAGAAAGAAGGTTTTGTGGGAGCTTATAATTCTAGTATAAAAAAAAGTGAAGCATGATGTCAGGTTCAGAAGCACCAGCTACATAGGGAAGAATACCCTCTGCAATTGGTGATCAACCAACCCTTGCAATGGATATGAGATTGCTCCAAGTAAGAATTACTTCAACTAAGCATGGATCAATTACCTAAGTTCAGGTTATTGACGTTCCTGCTCAACTGACGATTTAATTGACCCAGCTCCAGCTACATCTTTTACTCACCTTGATGTAACAACTGTATTAAGTAGACAAATAGCTGATTGGTATTTATCCAGCAATGGATCTGTTTGATAGTAATTCTCAAATTCTTTATCCAATGATTGTTGTAGATAAACATTATAAAGTTGCTAGAAATGTTTAAAGGTTAAAAAACGTATAAGTTTAGGTATGGATGAACTTTTAGAAGAGGATAAGAAGGTTTTGAGTAAACATTCTTCTTAGCATGGACGTTATCTGTTCTCTATTCTTGTTCTAGATTCTTCAGTTTTTTCTTCTTTTAGTAATTTAAAACAAGATCGCCCTAAGAGAAGTTTTGGCGCTTCAAATGCAGGTAAATTTGAAAATTAATATTACTTTCGCTAAGTAAGTTTATAAATTAACTAAGTTGCTTATCAGAGAACATTTGCTTAGTGGCTTGAAATAATGGTGTATTATGCATTAAGGTATAATCTTTATTTTCATTAAAGTAACATTCCAAAAAGATCTTTTTGAAACTTTAATTATTCTCTCAAGAGCATATTATCATTTTGATTAATACTAAGTCTTATATAAGCAAGTAAGTCGCTAATTTCCATTCTCTCATAAAATTTGAGGCCACCAATAATTTGGTATGGTAAAGCATTATTAATAAAGTTTTTTTAAAATGATTGTGTCTGAAATCCAGCTTGGACAAGAATTGCAATTTAATTTACGTTATATTTTCCTGAGTTTATATAGCCTGATATTTCAGTAATAATAAATCTGGATTCCTCTTTATCATTCCAACATGATACAACTTTGATTTTTTCACCTTGTGGGGCTTCTGTCTATAGTTTTTTTTATGTCTATTTCTATTATTGTTGATGGATTTGGATACTGTTGTCAGAGTAGAGCGGAAATTCTGTTTTAATTTGACAATTGTTGCGTTTTTAAAATCATGTTCAAACTGGAGTATATTTTTAATATCTGCTCTTCTTTAACTGTATATTATTGATCGTCTTCGCCTATACAGCATATGTTTTTATATTTAATTACAAACATCCTTATCCATACATATTGGACTACATGAGTGTCTTGATACTCATCTATCATTATATATTTTAATTTTTTTTGATAAGATAAAAGTATCTCTGGATTTGCAATAAATAATTAATTCAGTACAATATTGAGTGCATTTCATATTCAAAATATACATTCTTAGCCAAACCCTAAGAAATCTTTCCACCTTGAAATGATCATATCTATCATATTGGGTGAATATTGTTTAGTATCAACGCCTAATTCCATTGCATTTTCTTTGCTACCTTATGATAAAAGCAACAGCTAATTTTTCATCAGGTATAGCAAGTATTTGTTCTATGATATGAGCAAATCTATGTGTTAAACCTTTGTTTTGCCAAGTGATTTATGTATAAAAATAAAAAAAATATTTCAGCTAATGCAAATTAATATACCTTTTCTAAAAATATCAAATATTTTCAGCAAAAATACATTAAATCAGCAGCAAAAACTTGAGAAAAAGTTAAATGGCCAAATTAGCAAAATTCAAGTGCAACATTCAAAGGTTAAGTCAATAGTGCATGAAAGAATAACAGTGTTGCTGGATCCAGAGAGTTTGGAGAGAAAAGGATTAATTGTTTATTGAACATCGTTGTGATAATTTTTGGATGGGTGATAACAATTAATCTGTTGATGGGGCGATTACTGGTCATAGAACTATAAATGTAGTTTATTTGAAGAGTATCACGAAAGAAAATTGTAAACTAATTGATAAGGCTGTAGAAGTTGGAACGTTAGTTATTGGTATTAATAATTATATCAGAAAAACATTAATAATAATTATATGAATAATATTATTAATTATAATAATAATTAAAATAATATAATAATAATAATAATATATAATTTAGATTCAAATTCATAAATCCATTTCTGCTTACTGTCCAAAAACATCAACTCTCACATACAAATTTCCCCTTCTTTTTCTTGGAAAGCTTATTTTTTTAATACTTTTATCATTCTAGCATTCATACTATAAATAAGATTTAATTAAATTAAGAATTGGATTATCCCATTTTTATTTATTTTAACTCTTATTATGGATTAATAATAGATAAAATTTCTTATATTTGGCCTTCTTTAATCGTATTTGGAATAAATTCTAAAAGTTAATTAGAAATTGTGAATCATTAATTTATTATAAAAGAACTAAATTAAAAAAATTAAAGAGAGGACAATAAAATATTTACTCCAGGAAAACCCTTATAGAGTAATAACAAGAGCAATAAAAGAAATAAACCCCCTCAATTGCTCTTTTAGATAAGACCAAGGAAGGAAAGGACGAATATTGAATATTGTAGTCAATATGGGTTGAAGGAGCATTTTAGGTGGGCCTTGCATAAAATGAAATTATATTATCATATTCCTAGATGAAAGATAAAAGAGGAAGTATAAAACCGAGAGAGCAAGATTGGCAAAAAATATATATGAAAAAGATAGTGAAAGAACAGAAACCTAAGGATAAAAGATAATATGACTAATTGAAAATATTAAAGAAATAGACTAGACTCGATTTGGGTGAATTATAAACAATGAGAATACCCCCTTCTAATGGAGATCAGACTTTAGTCAAATAGAACAAAAGAGAATGGAAAGATTTTAATAAAAGATTTAAAAAAAAATCCTTTAATAGAAATCCCTAATAAGAATTAAATAGAATAAAACTTTGAATAAGATCTTAAAATAACATTAGTAATGAGAGTAATGGAAACAAGAGTAATAAAAAGATAGAGGAGATGTCAAAACAAAAATAGTTTTTTGGACCATTATAATAATAATTGCTTGCTAACATTTGATGAAGGTTAAATATAAGATATTTTAGAGAAGACAATATAAACAAAAAGATGAGGAATAAGAGCAACAATGAATTTAAATTTGGAATAGATGAGTTTCAAAACGAAACGATGCAATATGAATTCATAGAAATAAAGACAATCTGCTATTGAAAGTAGAGAGATAAAGAGAGAAAGGATAATACAATTTAAAAAGAAACAGATAAATTGAAGAAATATATAAATTTGACAAAACCAAAGGAATGGTAGATGAAAGAGGTTAAAGAGAAGACAATTTAAAGGAGTAACAATACGAAGTTGATCTCGAAAGATGCTTTTGGGAATTTAATAATGTAGATACATGAAAAAATATTGAATTAGAATGAAGGCTTACTATATATATTAAGGGATGCATTCTTTTAGAATTCGAACTTAATATTAAATGGAGCAAGGATATAAAAAATAAATAAATTCCAACTAAAACCAATAAGATGATTTATAAAGACTATAAGAAAAAAGGACTTACTTACATTATCAACTGAAGATTTGAGGTAACTAGAGGACTTTTTGAAGCAATTTGGATCCAATGGCACATTTACCTGGGGAACCTAACTAAGATGCACCATCTTTGGATTATTGAAAAATCTATAAAGGAGATAGTAGAGAACTCAATTATGGATAAGTAGAGAAATGGGAGAGGAAACATGGGATACAATAGAAAAATTATTAAGTGATTAAAACATTAAAAAAAGGAGATTTTGAGAAATATTGGGATAAATTTTTACATTAAGTTAACCCGCTACCAAATATTTTGATTAAATTATTATTCTGAGTAAAAACATCTATATCCAGACCATAACACCAATAATAGAGATTTAAAATATTGTTTAAAAAAACTTTTATATTATTTAAAGAATAGATATATTAACTTCTGGCTTTAATAAATGTAAAGATATTGTAAAAGATATTAATAGAATTATTTAATAAAAAATCTTTATAACAAAAAATATATTGAAGTGGTTGAAGATAAAACTAAATACAGACCTATCATTACATAAAGGTTTAATTAATTTTAAGTTGTCATTGAATTCAAATATTAGTATTTTTATTTTATAATCTTAAAGTATATAACATTAAAAAAATTTATAAATCTCTCATATTATTACTAATAATGAAAAATAAATATTTGAAAAGAAAAAATAACTTTTAGAAGGTGCAAGAATTTCTTATAAATTTATCTAAAAATATTAGTATCAAGATAAATGAATTTTTAGCTAAATTCTATTTTGATTTAGCTTAAAAATTAATCAATTACTAGCTAAGAGACTAAAAATATTTTTCAATGCTAGCCTTTGGAAAGTAGATTTAGGCTATGAGCTTTGTTGTTTATTGTTATAATCTAAAAAGAAAAAAAATGCTAGGCTAATTTATATTAGCGACTGTTTAAGACAACTTAAGGCATAATACTCATAAATTCTTGTAGCTTTGAGTTAACTCTAAGTTTATTTTTATTTAGCGATTTAAAGTGCTAAAAATTATGATGATATGATTTTTAGAAATTGTATTTAAATTTCTAATATATACATAGCATTTGCAAAATAACAATGTTATTAATATAATGAAAATGAAGACAAAAGCAAATAATCAGAATTACTCTGTTTAATTCTTTATTTAATAAACGAAAATAAAAAAAAAAAATTTGCTCATAAATAATAAAAAATTGTTTTGAAATTTTTACAATAAGAAATAGTCTGCTAATGAAGTTTAAAATTTAATGTGTATTGGATATGAAAGGATATTTTTACCTTATTTATCCTTTTCGATTGAAGTTATGAGAAGTAAGGGTTATTGAATTAAAAATATACCTCAAGAATCATCAACAGTTGATCTAGGCCCTAAACTAAATAAACTAAATAGGGCAAATTCAAACAGAATAATGAATTTATCTAGGTCTACAGAAGCAAATTAGCAAATTTATCAAGCAAGAAAAACTTAAAATATTTCATGATGGTCCTAAAAAACGAAGATTTAAAGTAATTAGAAAGTTCTGCAGATTTGAATAAGTTGATGTTACTTTTAATTATACTAGCTATGATAAAAATTAGATCTTTAAAGAGAATGATAACAATGGAGTCACCGATTTTGTATTTTATTCTTTGCAATCAAATTATAAATATTTCATTTTTTTATATTTTAAATTATGGATTTAAATGTTATTTCAGTACTTGATTCTTTCTATATTAGGTAATGACCAGTATAAAATGCACTCATAGGCGAGAATGGAACAACTGGTCATACAGAGTTCGTTGTGAAATGTTTAAAAAAAATAAAGACTTAATTAAGAATAATAGGAAAATGAAAACACTAATGATATTAAAAAAATTAATCATTATTTACTATCATATTGAAAAAAATATTATAAATTTCAAAATAAATAATATAAAACAATTATTATAAATAAGATATAATTATTTTACAACTTCCGTTTTCTCCCTGTTACTTGTTTCTCATAGGATTTGCTTTATAATTAATTCTTAATTGTAAAATTCCCATTTAATACACTTATTATTAAATGAAACTGATTGACTTTCTGTGGTTAATTCATAATGTTTGTTTTTCATTTCTGATATTTGATCGTGTTGAGGCACTTATTTAAATTTTTTAAGTAAACAATGAAATTATGTAGAATGTAAAAATCACCACAATTACATGTTTTGATAACTATATTTCTAGGATGTATGATTTCTTCACAGATTCTTCAATTTGATCTTTTATAAAAACTTATTTTAGTATTTGAATTCATTAGATTAGATCTATTTTGTAAAATCATATTTATTAGCGCTTATTTTAGCATATAATGTGATTACCCATTAGATATTATATCACATTTATTTATTAATTAAAAATCTTTTATTACATCCAAATAAACACAGTCTCTCGCCTACTTAATTATTTAAATTAATTCAATTTCTTTTAGAATTTTTTTCCTTATGGCTTATACAAATATTCTGCCCCATGAATATGCAATAGAATTTCGAATTGATAATCAAGAATTTAATTAATGCCATTTAGCCCCTATATTATAAGAATCATTTTTTATGAGTTAATTTAATAATAAAAGACACTCATATTTGTTATGTTAAGTACCCTTCTTATCAACTTTAGAATAAAAGCAATTGTTATTTTTTTTATATGCTAAAGATTTTGTTAAACATAAGATAAATTTAAATATAAAGAAATAGCTAATAGAGTCTAAAAAATTAATAAAGAAGTTACAGGATATTGAATTAAAAAAATAAAAGAATTAGTATTGAATTAAGGTTCTGTAAAATTTAGAATTTTGATCTCATAAATATTTAAAGCTTAAGAATTCTTATAATTAAAGTCATAGATTAATTCCTGCAAATAACTGGTTGAATTGCATTTGGATAATTTTTTAAGATAGTCATGAGTCAATCTTAAATTCTCCTTCTAGTCTGAATGCATATTCTCCCATGTATTTATTAAATTAAATACTTTCTTTTATTGTTAATTTATTAATATGTTCTAGTAGCAATCTGATAATAAAACTCTTCAAATTCGAACAGCTCCATTTGTTTAAGTTCAAAATAGAACTTATATTCATCTTAAGCCTCTAATATCTTTACTCAAATAGTAATCCAAGATAGTTTCTAACTAATCTGTCTCTTAATCTTGAAATTTATTTAACATATTTTGAATCTTCTAGAACAAATCTGAATTAATTTTAGTTATACACGGTTCCATGGGTATTTGGTTCTTCATTTAGTATATTTTGAGAAGAGACTTTCAATCAGTTTATCTAAATTGTTTGGAGTTGTTCATAATTCCCTAATTTATAAGATTACTATTATTAGTCTATTTTCAAATGAATTTAAATGTAGCTCATTTACTTAATAACAAACATCTTAAATTAACTTTGTTTCCAAATCATAAATTCAATTATTGAATCTAAAATATTATAGTAAATACACATCAAACTTTTTAATCTAAAAGATCTCTGAAAATAATTAAATCCTAGTTCATATTTTAAATAGATGAACTGAACTCATGTTCTCTTTGGTATCTAAGCATATATAATCTAACAGACACAACCTTGCTTTTAGCAAAATTAACATGTTGTGTCAATAAAAAATACTGATTTTCTTGAGCCCATTTATGACACATTTGAAAAAGTCTGCTTTGAGCCATATATATCTTCAATAGCAAATATTTAATCTATAATTGATAAGAGCTAGATTGCAAATTATTCCTATTTAAGATTGTCGACCGCCATGATTCCAATATTGATTAAGCCTTGATTCTTTATTCTTAATCTTTAGATGACTCTATAAAATAAATTTTAACCATCTTGTCCAAGAAACATGCTATTAGTTTATGAGTCTTAAACAAATTATTAAAACTTGCAAAAACCTCATTATTCTCCTCCTAAAATGATTAATAAATTGACTTTTCCACTATATTCTAACTGTTCTCATGGGAATAAAATTTATACTGTTGGATTTCATCTTTTCTATCTTTCAATGATTTAAAGTGGTATTGACAGAAATTCTATGCACATTTGGTCTTGGGTTTTTTAGATAAATATAAATTTTTATTAATCAATATGAATAGATCCTGTGATTGAAATTTATTATAATATTGATTTCTATAATGTAATTGCTTCAGATTATTTAAGGTCATTTCTTTGATTTCTTTCAACGTCAAGGTTTGGATATTACTTAACAAATGTTAAAATTTCATCAAACACTCCAAAAATCTTATATTATAACTTATTATATGCAAACTCTAAATTTTAATTATTATTTCTTAACCAATAATATAAATAAATTTCTTAAATTTGTTTAATTTAAGAGATCTAATATATGTGATTGAAAATTACTAAAGACAACTTTAGAATGGTTGATGATAATTTAGTGTTTAACTAGGCTCGAAAAACTATAAAATAAATATTAACGAAAAATATGAGCTAAAAAATCGCAATAATTAAAAAGAGAATAAGAAATAAAAATACCAAATATCAAAATAATTCAATAGCCTATTAAATTATATTTTAAATAAACCTTTATTAATATAAGCTATTGGTACTGCTTTATCATCGTCGTAATTTTTTAGACTCTGTAAAATAGATGAATTCATCAGTTCATTGAATTGGCTATTGAATTCACAAATTAATAGAAATATAATTAAATTTAAAAAACAAATTCTTCAAACAAGAATCATATGAGCTGCTAATAATCAACTAATTGGGTGGAACAAACTATTGAAAAAGATTTTGACCAACACAGCTTGGATGGAAAAAGTTATAAAAAAATAAAAATTCTAATCAAATTCACATCAGATTTAAAGATAATCTATTCATATAATGGAAAAATATTGAGAGTGTAAAATTTATTGATAAATTTAAAAATAGAGTAGAATGCCATGATGCCTTTGAGAAACAGGAATTGTTTAATAATATAAATCAAATCCACAATCTTTAATGGTAAGGTTAGTATAGTGAAAACAAAAAGAAAGATGGTAGATGGAATGCTTTTTGGAATTAACAGCTTTTAAAGAATTTTGGTGGATACTATACATAAGGGAAAAAGTCAGGTTTATGGAAAGATTTATTCCCAAATTATTCAAAGTTAGATATTTATATTTAACATTATGAATAGATAATTATAAATATTTGAGATAGGAGAATATTATAATGGCCTAAGGATTGGAGGATGGAAATATTTTTTGGAAAATTAGAAGATGTATTTATTTTAAATATTATTTAGTGGTGGTGGTTTTTACAATAAAAATGGTTAGAAATAAGGGAAATGGATTGATCTAGATGAAGGGTTTTAGGATAGCAAAAAAGTAATTTTTTGTGGAGAATATGATTTAAAGAGTATGAAAGTAGGTTAATGGGATATTATGTATAGTAATGCATATGAAAATGGAAATGGAAAATATAAATAAATGTAAAAATTTGAAAATATAAGAATTATTTGTATCTACATATTAAAAATGTATAGTGGTGGAGGATCATATGATTAAGCAGGAAATTAGAAAAAGATTGGAAAGTGGGTAGAATTGGATGAAAAGTTTAGGGATAAAAATTAAGTCATTTATAATGGTGAATATAATATGAATGGTATAAAGGTTGGAAGATGGGATATTATGTATGATAGAAAAGTAAATGGAATATATAAATAAATGTAAAAATTTTTAAATATAAGAATTATTTGAATCTACATATTAAAAATGTATAGTGGTGGAGGATCATATGATTAAGCAGGAAATTAGAAAAAGATTGGAAAGTGGGTAGAATTGGATGAAAAGTTTAGGGATAAAAATTAAGTCATTTATAATGGTGAATACAATGTGAATGGTATAAAGGTTGGAAGATGGGATATTATGTATGATAGAAATAGAAATGGAGAATATTAATTAATGTAAATATTATAGAATTTATAAGAAATATTTAAAATTTAAATATATGTAGTGGTGGTGGATTATATGATGAAGAAGGAAATTAGAAAAAAATTGGAAAATGGGTAGAATTGGATGAAAAGTTTAAGGATAAAAATTAAGTCATTTATAATGGTGAATATAATATGAATAATTTGAAGGTAGGCAGATGGGATATAAAGTATTGTCATGTATATGGAGATGGAGAATATTAATTAATGTAAATATTATAGAATATAAGAAATATTTGTATCTACATATAAATATGTATAGTGGTGGTGGATTATATGATTAAGAAGGAAATTAGAAAAAGATTGGAAAGTGGGTAGAATTAGATGAAAATTTTAATTATCATAATTAAGTTACTTATAATGGCGAATATAATATAGATAATATAAAAATAGGTAGATGGGATATTTTGTATTGCAATGAATATGGAGATAAAGAATATAAATAAATGTAAAGATTATAAAATATAAGAAATATTTGTAT